GGCTGTAGGTTTTTCCTGGATGTCCTTTATCAGGTTGAGGTAGTTCCCTTCTGTTCCTTGTCTCCTGAGAGTTTTTGTCATGAATGGGCATTAAATTTTATCAAATGCTTTTCTAAATGTATTGAGATAATCCTATGGTTTTTCTTCCATATTTGGTAAATATGTCAAATTGATTGATTTTTTTCCAGCATTATTGAGATATAATTGACATATAACATTGTATAAGTTTAAGGTGTACAATACAATGATTTGATATGTTTATATTGTGAAACAATTACGGACAATAAGTTTAGTTAACACATGCATCACCTGACATAGTTACATTTTGTGTGTGTGATGAGAACACTTAAGATCTACTTTCTTAGCAACTTTCAAATATACAATAAAGTATTTTTTTTGTTCTCTCTTTTTTTTTTTTTTGTGAGGAAGATCAGCCCTGAGCTAACATCCATGCTAATCCTCCTCTTTTTGCTGAGGAAGACCGGCTCTGAGCTAACATTTATTGCCAATTCTCCTCCCCTTTTTCCCCAAAGCCCCAGTAGATAGTTGTATGTAATAGTTGCACATCCTTCCAGTTGCTGTATGTGGGACACGGCCTTCAGCATGGCTGGAGAAGCAGTGCGTTGGTGCGCGCCTGGGATCCAAACCCGGGCTGCCAGTAGCAGAGCCCGCACACTTAACCGCTGAGCCACGGGGCCAGCCCTAGAGTATTGTTAACTATAGTCACCATGCTGTACATTACATCCCCAGGACTTATTTATCTTGTAACTAGAAGTTTGTACCTTTTGACCCCCTGCATCCATTTCCCCCAGCCTCCACCCCCCACTTCTGGCAACCACTAATCTGTTCTCTGTTTCCATGAGTTTGCTTTTTTAGATTCCACATAACAGTGAGATCATACAATATTTGTCTTTCCCTGTCTGACTTATTGCACTCAGCATAATGCCTTCAAGGTTCACCAATGTTGTCAGAAATGGCAGAATTTCCTTCTTTTATAAGGCTGAATAATATTCTATTGTATATATACACCACGTTTTCTTTAGCCATTCATCCATCTGTGGGTACTTAGGTTGTTTCCATGTCTTGGCTATTGTAAATAATGTTGCAATGAATATGGTGTGCAGATTTCTCTTTGAGATAGTAATTTCATTTCCTCAGACATATACCCAAAAGTGAGATTGCTGGATCATGTTGTCATTCTATTTTTAATTTTTTGAGGAACCTGGATACTGTTTTCCATAGTGGCTGTACCAATTTACATTCCCACCAACAGTGCACAAGGGTTCCCTTTTCTCCACATCCTTGCCGAAATTTGTCATGTCTTGTCTTTTTGATGACAGCCATTCTAACCGATGTGAGGTGATATCTCTTTGTGGTTTCGATTTGCATTTCACTGATGACTGGAGATGTTAAGCATCTTTTCAAGTACCTGCTGGCTCTTCGAATATCTCTTTTGGAAAAATGTCTATTCAATTCTTCTGCCCATCTTTTAATTGGATTGTTTGGGGTTTTTTTGCTATTGAGTTGTATGAATTCCTTGTATATTTTGAATATTAATCCTTTATCAGCTATATAATTTGCAAATATTTTCTCTCATTCCATTCGTTGCCTTTTTATTTGTTGATTTAAATTTTATTTCATTTTTTCTTTTGCTATGCAGAAGATTTTCAGTTTGATGTAGTCCTATTTGTTTATTTTTGCTTTTACTGCTTCTGCTATAGATGTCATATCCAAAAAATCATTGCCAAAACCAATGTCAAGGAGCCTTTTCCTTATGTTTTCTTCTAGGAGTTTTATAGTTTCAGGTCTTACATTTAAGTCTTTAATCTATTTTGAGGTAATTTTTGTGTGTAATGTAAGATACAGGTCTAGTTTCCTTCTTTTGAATGTGAATATCCAATTTTCCCAGCACCATTTGTTGAAGAGACTTTCTTTTCTTCATTGAGTATTCTTGGCTCCCTTGTCAAGTACTAGTTGATTGTATATGTATCAGGTTATTTCTGGGCTCTCAATTCTGTTCCATTGGCCTATGTGTCTGTTTTTATGCTGGTCTCATACTCTTTGATTACTATAGCTTTGTAATATAGATTGAAATCAAGAAGTGTGATGCCTCCAGCTTTTTCTTTCTCCAGAAGAAATTCAGGGTTTTTGGCTCTTCAGGATCTTTGTTCACCATCTTCAGGTTCCAGACACTTCTTCCATCCTCTCCCATCCCTTGTGCTATTATTGTCATACGTTTTACTTCTATTTATGTCATAAACTCCATCCATTGATTGTTACCCTTTTTTTTCTTTTAAACAATCATCTTTTAGCTAATTTAAAAATAAAAGTTTATTTACTCACATATGTATCATGTCTGGCATTGTTCAATTTGGGGGTAAGGTCCAAGTTTTAATCAGGAATCAATCATGTCATCTGAAGAAATTCCTTTGATATTTCTTGTAGTGAAGATCTGCTGATGACAGCAAACTTTTGTTCATCTAAAAATATTATTTTATTTTCATTTTTGCTGTAAAACAGTGTGATTTTAAAGATGGTATGAAAAATAATTTAAGACATCTCAATACTTTTTTATATTACCTTTCAAAATGATAATATTTGGATATACTGGGTTAGATAAAATATATTGTTATAACTAATTTCACCTGTTTCTTTTTCCTTTTTAAAGTGTGGCTACTAGAAAATTTAAAAAATATATAGGTGGCTCACATTCATGGCTAATATTACATTTCTTTTGGGCAGCACTGATCTAAGCAGTCTTTTTGAAAATATAAATGAATGCCTACAGTTGCTTAAAACCCTCCAGGGACTTCTCATTGTGCTGTAGCATCTTACCAGAGCCTACACCAGAACCGGAGTTCTGCCAAACCGTCTGCCTTCATCTCTTTTAGTTCTTCGCCGGGGTGAATGTGCTCCAAGCCCACAGGCCACCTTCCTGTTACTTCTTTAGGACAGTAGCCAGTGCTATTTCCCCCTGGCTCCAAATACCTTGATCCCTTTCATCCTTCAGTTATCAGAGTAAATGTTAGGTTCTTGGAGACCTTTCCTTGAACTATTCTGCCCTAAAGTCATCCTTCCTACATGACCTTTACCAAGTGCTCTCTTTTGCATCACTCTACTGATTTCCTTTGTAGAACATTCAGAATCCGAAGTTATCTTGCTTTGTTTATTCATTGACTCACTGTCTCACTCCACTAGGCTGTAAGCTCCAAGGTGGAAGGCACCTGGTATGTCTTAATGCTTTATCCCCAGCCCCTAGCACAGTATTACTTTAATGAATGAATAAGATCTGAAGTCACTCTCAACAGACATGAACTTTTAAACTAAGAGGAAAATTTTTTTTTTCAAAACAACAGCTTTATTTCTGAATAAATTCTTATTTGAGAGAAAGTTAATTGTACGATTAAATTACAATTTATCGTACAATTAACTATCCTTTTTCTGGAATAATGAACAATTTAGTATATCCCATACTGTAATCTTTTTTTGAGATATAATTGACATATTATATTAGTTTTAGATGTACAACATAATGATTCAATATTTGAATGTATTGCAAAATGATCATCACAATAAGTCTACATAGCATAACATCCATCATCATACATAAGGTTTTTTTCTTGCAGTTAGAAATACCATATCATTTTTATAATATAGTTTGAAATCAGGACGTGTGATGCCTTCAGCTTTTTTTTTTTTTTTGGTGAGGAAGATTAGCTCTGAGCTAACATCCATTGCCAATCCTCCTCTTTTTGCTGAGGAGGATGGCCCTGGGCTAAAATCCCTGCCCATCTTCCTCTACTTTATATGTCGGACGCCCGCTACTGCATGGCTTGATAAGCAGTGTGTAAGTCCATGCCCGGGATCCAAACCTGCGAACCCTAGGCCGCCAAAGTGGAGACAGTGAACTTAACCACTACGCCACCAGGCGGCCCCCTAGCTTTCTTGTTTCTCAAGATGGCTTTGTCTTTTGTGGTTCCATGCAAATTTTAGGATTGTTTGTTCTATTTCTGTGAAAAACGCCATTGGAATTTTGATAGAGATTACATTGAATCTGTGGATTGCTTTTAGTAGTATGGACATTTAACAATATTAACTCTTCTAATTCATGAGCATGGAATAGCTTTCCATTTATTTGTGTCTTCAATTTCTTTCATCAATGTCTTATAGTTTTCAGTGTACAGGTCTTTCCCCTCCTTGGTTAAATTTATTCCTAGGTATTTTATTCTTTTTGATGCAATTGTAAGTGGGATTGTTTTCTTAATTTCTCTTTCTGATATATTAATTTCCTTAACATATAGCCAAAATAGCTTTTATGGTATGTTTAGCTGATACTCTTATTAAGGTATCAGAATGTATAGGAACAACTATCATAATTTCTGATTTTCTGTTGGGTTTTTCTTTCTGGGAACAAGAAAAATCCCCCTTTTTTCCCAATGAAGACATTGAAGCCTAGAGATGGTAAGTGTTGTCTTAGCTTTGTAGCCAGAACTTTAGCTCATGACTCTTGATATTTGAGTGTTATCTTCACTATAAAAGAATAGATATGGTGTGTAACTCTCATATCCCTTCTCAATGTATTTCTGTAGTTCCTTTTTTCAAGTTAACACTCAGTCTTGGTGTACAACTAAACATATTTATTCATAATAAAAACCAAACTAAACTAACAGAGTAAATTCACTAATTTACTCCTTTGACATCTGCTGGATGTTCTCTGAGAAAAATGATCTTGCAAAAGAGGTCATAGAATTCAGAAAGCATCACACAACTTCACAGGGTCATAGTTGTTAAGAACAGGTACCTAAACCAGGTGATGCTTAGGTCTAGCCAACTGAATTTTCATTAAGTATTAATTGCACAGAAAAAAATGTTGTATTTGTGAATAGCTAGTGAAATACCAACATGGAGAACAAGTTTTATGAATGTCCCTAAATTGAACACAAATATCTGTTGCATGGATAAACTACTAAGAGCTATAGATAGAAACTACATCAAAATTATTTCACTAATTCAATATTTTATTTGGCGTCAAAGCATCTTAACTTTGAGTTGTATTAGTAAGAGTAATTTCATTAGTAATTTTAGAAGAAACAATTCTAGAAAATAGCAGTTTTATCAGTTGTGCTACTAGAATTAAATTGAAGAGGAAGTTAATTCTGAATTAATTTATTGAAGCATTTACAGTTATTTTATATCCACTTAGGTACAAAACTTATGTAAGAAAGATAACACTTTTATTGCATTATATAATTTCATATTTTACAGGAGTCATAATGCAAACTCATAAGCATAAATATACATGATGCAATCAGCAATGTAACCGTTAAAAGATTTAAAATGTAAAACTAGAATTTAACAGGCAAAATACTTAATATGGCTTTTCATGGAAAGTAACTGTTTAGAGATTTGTTATTGCCCCATTCTAGTCATTCCTCATCAGATGACATAAAATTATGATCTCCATTTAAAATGGTACATGTTATCCAAGCCAATGTTGTACACATTTTTGTAACATGTAGTATGTAATATGATTCATGAACTTTCTTAAATATACATATATACATATATATATATAGATATACAGTACGCAGACAGTTCCGTTTTAATACCCCTGAACATCTTGATTAAAACTATTACAATTTTTCTATTATAAAACTACTTGAAAAGTTGGCATAACTTCTTGGTATTGAAGCTTAATCTGACAGAATTGGAAAAAAAAAAAGCAACAAAATGTTATAAATACATTCTTTACAAAAAATTGAATAGTGGTCCCGCACTCATACTTTATATTACAATGAAAACATTTTATTCATTTAAAGGTATTTACATCTTGTTGTCCTTGGTTTCTGTGTGAAATATACAGAGGTTAAGAGTGAGAATATTGTAGGCAGGCCTATTTGTTAGGTTTTTCTACTTGTTCGTTTTTGCGTAAGTTCCAAATCTCTTCTTTTGAGTTGTTGTTTATTTCTATTTGCCTTGTATTACTGCTGCTGCTGCTTCTTTTGGTGTTCTGGGAACACGGGGTGACTTTACTTCTAGGAACAGGAAGAAAAGATTTAACTCTTGAAACACCCAACTCAGTCTTTGATTTACTGTTGCTGCATTCGGTAGTTTGATGGCTGCTGAGAGGACTGACCTCCTGTAAGAAGAGAGAAACAAACCACGTTTGTCACACTTGACACTGTTACCAACTTCTCTCAGTCCTAACTCTTCCTCCTCTATCTCTGAACAAGCATCTAGGAGTTTCTCCCTAAACACAAGTTCTCTCTAAACACAATAGTGCCAAAGAGGAGCTTCATGAAGTCCTAGGCCTGAGGAAATCATCAGATTGGACTGGACAATTAACTGTCTGTAAGCAGCTCTACAGATCAACTATATCACCTTGGGTGAGTCACCTAACCCTTCTGCTTTCAGATCTGTAAACTAAACATTGGACTATTAATAATCAACAAATATTTTTTGAGCATTTAACTACAAGATGAGCACTGTTCTAGGTGTTTGGCATACATCAGAGAACAAAAGAGCAACACCTTTGCTCTAACGGAGCTTACATTCTAGTGAATTAAGGCTCATGCATAGCAATTCTATGACGAGGTGGCTAAAGATCCTCCATACTTGGAAACTGCAGGCTCTCATTCTTCTAGTGTTTCAGAACTCCTATGGTCACCTGGTCCATGTCTCTCATTTTGCCCACGAGGAAAGTGAGAGCTGGAGAGGTAAGATGATTTGTTCACAGTCACAGAGTGATGAAGCTGGGACAAGACCTCAGGTTTCCAACTTTCTTTCAAGGTGTTTTCCCCTATATTGCGTTAAATTCCACCAACCAGCAAACGTGAAGTCAGGCCTACTCAGTGAGCTGCTCCAAATGCCTCTGAAGCAGTTGACATTGATGAATTTCCCTCTTTTTAAATTTAAAAGTAATAATGCAACCAAATAGCAATGTAACCATTAAAAGATTTAAAATGTAAAACTAGAATTTAACAAGCAAAATACTTAATATGACTTTTAATGGAAAGTAACTGTTTGGCCTCAGCTGGAAGTTGCATTCTCCTGGGTGTCTTCCTAAATCTGTAAAATGGGACTTAGCCGTGGGCCCATTAAGGCCAATCCCAACTTGTAATTTGGTCTAAAACACCAGTAAATTCAACACATACATAGTATTCCGAAGACATGGCATGTTATACTAAGGATAACAGATAGTTGGTATACAGAATCTGTGAGGAGGGGAGGTGGATCTAACAATAAATAATTCTGCCATAATCTTTGACCTTCCTCTGGAAATCCACAGGGGTAGTGCCAAGGCCCAGACAGAGGAAAGGCAGCATACAGTGTGTTCTTTGCTAGTCTGTCCCTTCATCTGCATCATGAAAGCAAGGAGGGGCTGCATCTTTATGGTCTGAGGCAGGAAATGCCCACATAGAATGAAGTACCAAGGAGCCCTCACAACAGCTAAAAATGTGGTTGGTGTGTTGAGGCTGGGCGTGGATAAGTGGGGCTGAGCTAGTCCCTGGAGGTGTGAGGATGGAATAGGAGGTGTGAGGAGAGCATGGAGCATCACTTCAGCTTAGTGAGGCCCCAGCACTTCAAGGCTGTGCGTGTAAGAATAAGGCAAGTGACTGACGCTCAGAGTTACATTCCTGACATTCTGGCAGCCAAGTGCAGGTTTTGAGGTGTTTTCCCCAAAGCTAAGAAGTACCAGAGCCTGGGACTAGGAGAGTTAGGGGTGTTTAATGCTTCTTGGGCTAAAACCCAAAAGTTCTCTCTATTCAACACATAAAGTTACTATCAGTGTTGTTATCCATGTTAAGCTCAAAGAAAACCTCCCGTTTGTATGGAAAGGCGTTGCCCCTAAAGTAAGTTTTAATTGTTTAGCCTTAAAGAAATATTGTTAAAGCAGAGCCATTCATTCAATACTGAGCATCTGCTGGAAGTTAAGAGGACACTATAATTCCTGCTCTCTAGATGGGAGAGTAGGGGGCAGGCAGTAAAGGAAAACACTGTAGGGAAGATGACACTGTAGATGGATCTTTAAGGAGATAGAGGACTAGAAAGGTGAAGAGGAGAGAAAGGGTTTCATGGGTAGGAGGAAGGTGGAAGACAGACATGGGGAGGGGTAGGGTATGGTAGGGAAATAGTAAATTACATGTAAAAATAAGTTACATGAAGGTATAGCAACCCCTCTAAAGATACATTTGGAAAGAAATGAGCTGGAAAATAAGGAGGATGGCAGCTCAGAGCTATGTTTTAGAGCAGTGGGTCTGCCCTGGCTGCAAATGAGAATCACCGGGGAGCTTTTAAAAACCCCAATGTCCGAGTTGCACCTCAGACCAATTACATCAGAACCTCTAGGGGACGTGGTCCAGGCACCGGGGATTAAAAAAAAAATCCTTAAGTGGAGTTCATTATGCAAATAAAGATGAGAACTTTTGCTTTAGGGGGATTAAAGTGCAGTTTCATGAGAAGAAAACATTATTTATTAGTATCTGCTCTTTCTATTGATGATTTAAATATGTGTATGTGTATTTGTTGCTGTTGTTTTTAATTTAGAAGGCTGGCTAACATGCCATCTGATTAATAAACCCCACTACATTCCCTTACTGATGTAGCAGTAAAGTGATGAGGAGAATTTATTCATTCTTGTCTTCCAATGGCCAATGGTGGCTGCAAGGCGCCTCTCTGGCCACACAGGAGAAAGTGATTTCAGCTAACCCAGAGAGCTCTTACTTCTAAGGGAATTACTTCCTGATAACAGAAGAAACTGGGCATCTAACCAAGAAACGCTAGCTGAGTTTATCACAAAGATAGAAAAAGAGGGAGGCTGCCAAGCTTTCAGAAGGCTGCCAAATGAGTGTTACTTTGCCCTCTGCTGGCAGGTTCTAAGAAAAACATCTTCCAGCCATTGGGGAATAGTCCCTCCAAATGTGTTCAGTGGGTAAAAAAAGAAGAGTAGGAGGTAGTTGTCCTAATACGCACATCAAATCACACACTTAAACAACCCCATAGTTCTTTTGTAAGAGCCCACAGATAAAAAGACTTATTTTTTTAAAGGTCTCTTTAAAAACAAAGCTGTCCTGAACTGCCCAGAGCTTATCTCACTTTCAGTACTATTTTTTTATGGACAGTACCTTACTGTAGCAACCCAGTACCGTCATGTGACAGTAGCAGGGGTACAAAATCGTGCCTCCATTAGACATTTAAACAATAGCAGCCAGGCACTACCAGTCAACATTTTTATATAGAAAGTGACTTGGTCCTGTGGAGAAATATTCGTTGTTCCTCTTCCCACACCCTCATGGACCCCTCCACTAAGGAATCCTAAAGAGTGGTCCTAAAGGCGCAAGAAATGTGCTCTGAACCAAAGCTCAGGGATAGCTCCTGAAGAAAATATTTTCCAGCCAGAATTCTCAGTAGGGACCCCAGGTCACGTCCTTAGGTCACCCTCCCTTACATGCTCTCCAAAGTATGCTTTTGCTGTGCTTCCAAACTATTCCCAACTGACCAAAAAAATCAGACATTATGATAGAGTGAGCCAGAAAGGTCATGCGCTCCTTCACAGATCATCAGGTTACGTATTTTTTTATTCAAGACCTCACCTTGCCAATACCCGTCCCCCGCTCTGCCACACACACACCTCCTTCCCTAACACCCACAGCTCACATAGTTTCACATACGACTAATCAGGACTGAAACCTAATAAAGCAGTGAGACAGCAGGCGCTGTGGAGCCCAGGGCGGTCAGGTGATCAGATAAGGATTAATAATTTAATAGTCTCACCATGCTCACTTTATAATCCTGCTCTCTGCACTCCCCCACACAAGTCTTTGTAAGCCACAGGGGAGTGGATGAGAACAGGATGTGAATCATAATCGACATGGTTTGGTGGACAAACCACATATTACTAAATGCATCCACAAAATCTGCATCCTCACAAAATAACTACTGAGTAAAAAGTAGTTTTATTGTTTCTGTTCACCCAGGAGCACCATGCTGGGGCATCTCTTGGCATTTATTAACCAAATCATAGAAGTAATTTTGAAAGGTTAATGAAGTCTGTTGGAATCCTGGCTCTTCTGTTTGACATTCTGATTTGTTTTTAAAGGAAAGTCTCTCACTGAAACATAATGCATGTTATGGGAAGCTGAGAAACTAAATTAAAACTGAGATTTTTTGTGTAAAAGATCTTTATGTTATCACTTTATGTTTTGTGTCTAAAAGATTTTTATATTGTTGTAGTTAATTCAAAGTTTCCAAAATGCAGGAAATCTTAAAAGTTCTCAAATGAAAATCAATGTTCCATTTTAAAATGGGACAACAAAGACAGCTGTTACGTTATTTCTAGTTTTGGCATAAATGAATGAAAACCAATGGAGACCTTCTCAAAAGGTACCCAAAATTTTGGAATCAAATTTTTAGGCATCAAATAGAAGGAAAAAAAGTAAGACTTTTCTATGTTATTCTTTCAAGCTGTTATCCAGACAGCAATCTTTCTAACCTTAACTAACTAATGAACAGGTTTACCTTCACCCTATTTCTCATCTCATAGCTGTGATTTAAAAGTAACCTTGTGATGCACGTTGAAAGCTTTGTGAAGTCAATTCCACAGTAATCCTTCTTTGTCCCATTTTGGGAGGAGAGGGACAGTTACCTTTTGTGACACTGGCATTCTTGGATTATTAACAGTTGCTGATAATGCAGGGTTGTTTCCTGAACTATCAAACCTCCTTAAATCGTCCCTGGAATCAGCAATCTGGAAAATATACAATTTATCAAGTCATGTCTTCACAGTCACACAGTGACACATTCAAGGCACAACTTAAAGTCACTATGGAAAACCCACAGCAGAAGTATTATCCTTGTCTTCTTCCCCTACCCTCAGGAGCTCTACAGAACACACCCTCCAGTCCTGAACTGTGCCTATGAGATACCTGAAGCCTTCATGTGAGACTAACAGCAAATACATGAAAAATAGTCTCTAAGGGAAGGGAGTCTTAAAAAAACGTCAGAAGATGACAACCAGATGAGCTCGATAGAAAAAAAAAATCACTTGGCAAGAAAAGAAAGGATATAAAATTTGCAAGATTTTAATTGTTACCTTATTTTTCTAGTGGCTAAGTATTTCAATTCATTTCCAGCAAGGCTAAAGAAGAGAGTCAATTCCACTTTGTCCTCGAGATTATGATGGTTCGAATATAATAGTTGAGTCTTTCAGTGGAACCTGCACAAGTTATAACTACCTTCTTGTGCTCTCTTTCAAGTAAAAGGCATTTATCAAGGAAGTCTGGTCAAATTTGCTGCAGATATCAGAGTGCCAAAACAGGTTGAACTTGATGCTGTTAATGCTTTCTTTGAGATTTTGGGTCACTGATTTCCATATTTAGATCTCAAATTTCATAGCTTAAAGACTACGACTACATGCATTATAGAGGCCAATTACTTTTCTTATTTGTAAGGAAAGTTGTTGCTTTGTCTACAATATGAGTCTGCTGTGACGCTCTCCTACTGATAGATGACTTACATGCCAAAGTTAGGAATATGAAAAGGAAAAAAGCCTGAGGAAACTAAAATTGTGTCTTATACAAATGCTGCCCAAATGTGTTGGCGTGATTTGGGCTAATACAATTAACACAGGCAATTTTAACTTCAGGTTTTTCAGAGGAGTTTGGAAAAGCAAGCTGTGCTAAACAGAGCTCCCTTATTGTAGAAATGATATTTTGAAAAAAAGGGCTTTTCTAAGCAAGATAAGCGATGTTTTGATTTGGAGCATTAACCATCCTATGCAATAAGGAATTTCTTTCAGGGAATGAGTGTTATGGTGTGGCTCCAAGAAGTCTCTCTGCTGTTGGGTGGAGCCCTTCAATGTCCTCCCCCATTCGTACTGCTTACCTTGCTTATATCAGATTCAGATTTGCTGGAGCACATACTCTGAAGTTCTTTGACAAGGTCTGCTTCATCATCTGAACCCAGAGAGAATCTTTGATCCAAATTCAACATCAATGACAGATCATTCTCTAAAGACCTAACACAAAGTTCAGGAAAGAGTTTTTCAAAGTGAGAGCAACAATCCAATCCCCAATATGGAATCTAGACACCAGACCTTTTTTTTGGGGACATGGTGAGGAGTAGGAAAAGAGTTTTTAATATCCTTTACAGGAGTTTACAAATGTCATTTAATGCAACAACCCACTCCCATAGGAGTTTGGTAACTCCTACTCAATATTGTCAATAGGATAAAATTTTATTTCACAAAGAAATCCACTTTGACTTATAACATTCCAGTCTCCTTACACTTCCCTTTTCTTCTCTGTCTCGAAGGACAGATAAACCTAAGACACGAAACACTCTGGTGTAGGGGGCAGTGCGATATAATGGAGCAAATATGAATTTCAAACTTGGCTCTACCCCTTACTACCAATACGGCCATGGGCCACGTTTTCTTTTTTCTTTTTTTCCTCCTTAACATCTCAGTTCCTGGGTTCCCTTCTCTGTAATGAATTCCCTATACCTATATCATTGAGTTATTGAAAATTCTATAGGCTGTTGAATATAACAGATCTAACAGTGGGCCTGGCAGAAACAAGCAGGTGATGTAGTTTCCTTTATTCCCCTTCTTTCTCTTCACCCTCCCCACCCTTCTGCAATTCTGCAAACCAGGCCACAGGGTCCTAAATATGACCTTTTATAGATTTCATTCATTCATTAGATTTCAGTTTAATACTAGCATTTGACCTTTACTGCTTTTTAAAAAATTATATTAACAGCATAATAGTTGTACAAACTCATAATGAGAATGTGTATTGTTTGCTACGAGTTAAATTTGAATAAGGAACTTACTTTTGTTTTGACAGAGAAGCATTTCTGTTAAAATTCAGCTGTGATATAGTCTTATTTTTGATACCTGTTTAAAGAAAAATATAATCATTTCAATAAATAATTATCTCTGTGCATCTTGAACTTTGTATTTAAAAGAAACAGGCTATGGACTCTGCTGTACTTTCCTGTTGTTTTTGAATTAAATCCATCTCTTGAGGAGTTTTTCCTCAGGGCAGTGGCTCTGGATGTAGCTTCCTGCACAGGCCTTGTGGGAAGGGCAGGGAATGACCAACAGCCTCACGTACATTTACGACTAAAGTCAGTACAACTACCACCTCCTGAGGTTCAATTCAGGAATCCTGAACTCTGCTTTTATCAGTGGCCCCTCTGCTCACTAGTCAAGTCCCTCTGTCCTTAGGCCTTTCTTCTCTAAGTACCTAAAAAGGGATTTAATACCTGCCTTTTGATGATGCTAATTTCCCTTTCTCTACCCTTCTTTGCCTTCCAACATCATTGACCAAGCAGATCAAGTGCAGTTTTTGATGTGTGGGCCCACATAATGTGTTACAGTGCACGTGGCATCAGTAGTGTACTTGTAGAAATTTAATTTTTAATTGCTTTGTATTATACAGAAAGCAAAATACAAACAGTATACAGTCACAGAACTTAAAAAGAATACTGCATATCATACCAATATTTTTCAAACTGCAGATTTCAACCCATTTACAAAACAAGAAACGTAATCTGAAATATCCGATTGCACTGCTTGCAGTAAATATACTGTATCCATTATATATACATGCAAATGCATAGATTTGTGTTTATGGGTCATGATATAAAATATATGTCTCACTGTGGGTTATGGTCAAAAAAGTTTGAGCAACACTGTTATAAACCATTTCAGACTACAAGTTCATTAAAACATTTAGTTGCTTATGAGTGAATTCTAAAATTATATGAATATTGCTAGCACAAATTATCTCTAATAAATGATTTTGAAAAGTAAATTGAATATATGCTGATTAAAAGCAGATCATCAGAGAGAATCTTTGTACTAGTTTCTTTACACGTATTTTTGTCATTATTGTCAGAAAGCATTGACTAGTAGCTTTCCCCTAATTACGACATAAGTGCACAGGCTTGGGCCCTGCCTTCCAGAGCCTGTGACTTGACATCACTGTCCTTCTGTGTCTCCAGAGTATGAAGCTGTGTCTTTACCAAACTTTATGAGCTTTCACAGTGATCTGCATGGAATGTAAAGGGGTTCCTATTCTTTTTTTCTTAACAACCATGTCAAAAAAAAACCAAAATCAACCCAAACATTGTTGTAATAAATTTACTATTATAAAAAATAAGCAAACTAATCAGAGACATGTCAATCTTTGGTTCTTAACCAATCAGTGGTTCATTCACCTAACCACTGGCCGATTAATTTACCTTGTAAAATTTTTAGATTTTATAAATCTCTACGTTGAAGTCAGTGTAAACTATGGTTGTATACAATTTTATTAATCTTTCAAATAAGTTTCATGTTTCAAAGAATATATTTGACATATCAAATAGTTCTAAAACTACAAATTATGGAAAATATAAATGAATTTAAAACCATTTATAATTAAATTTTTTTTACTTTTTAATATTTTGCATATTAGTTTTATGACTTAGACCTATGTCCATAATATTGCTTTAAATTCATATGCATTTTATTGATTTTGTTTGTTAACTCTAAAGCATATATTGACAATGCTTACTGTTTAGGGAATTATTTAGTTCAAGAAAGAAGCTGGTCCTAAATCCTAAAGAAATTGTGATAAACTTGCAAATGATACAGTGAAGAGCCTGGATGGGTGTCAGTTATCTAAGAGCTTATGGATTATTACATGTGCCATGGACTGAGGAAAACAGCATTGGACCTGTAAGAAACAAAAACTTGGAATGCAGAACACCTTGTTTCCAGGAGAGCTAATTTGGAGCAGGTAGCCAAGGGTTCCTGAACCTCAGTTTTGTTATCTGTAAATGGGATGATAATCCTCACTGTAGAGCTCTTTGGTATACTATAAAGGGATAAACAAGTGAAAGGTATAATCCTTGCTACAGAAAGTCATCTGGGGAATCTCTATGCTATGGGGGCTTAGAGTCTAAGGATTTTATTCCTCGAATCAAACACTCTAACTTTGGGGAATAATGGCGAACTTTTGGGATCAGAATTGTATCCCGTTATAAATACACAACACTTATCTTAAAAAATTTTAAGTAAACTCTCATTTTATTCAGTGACTTGCCCTTCAATCAATTAAAAAAGTGGTCACGATTTATTCACACACTTGGGGTAATTACAAAACTCTGGCATGTATTAATATGGTTAAAAACCATTTAAACCATATTAAATTTTTATTAAAAATCAACACAGAAGCTTATGTATAAAAACATATTAATGGACAAAAGCAACTTTTTATGTTTAAGATTTTAGGCATCATATTCTTTTATTTAGCAACTCCACTGCTGTCAAGTTGCCATAAAATTACACAAAACAGAATACTGTGGGGTACAAGGGGGCTCCTGAAGACCTAAAATTAATTACATATATCAGAAATGCACAATGCATATGAGGTGGGAACATCTTTTCATTTTTACTCAAATTTGGATCTCCTTTAGGGAAGACATTTATAATTTGTATAATTGTTGATTATCCTACTATCAAAGCCAAAAGGAATAGGTCTAACACCAGAGATAGACGTGTTATGCCTTCTGTGTTGATAGAATGAAAACTTACATATTTCTTTTTTATATTGACATCCCATTATACAGAATTTATTTAATGACTTATTAGAATGTAAACTCCATGAGGGCAGGGATTTCTGTCTGCTGTTTTCACTGTTCTATGGCCAGTGCCTAGAATAAAACCTGGCACATGGTGCATCCCATGTATGAAAAAGAAATAGTAAAACTGATTCACTCATAAAGGCCTTAAACTGGTATCAAATACGTCTGTACACACCCTTTTAAAATTTTAATGTTGGCTTAGGAATGCACTTTGGCATATTTCTCTCCTTTTGTGTGTCAATTATTTTATTCCATAAATATAATTGTAGACAACAAGAAAAATTAATAAAAAAACAGGTGATCATTAACATGGTAAAGATAAATTTAATTTCAGAATTCTGGTATGAAAGGTTATTTCTTCAGGGAGGGGGCTTCCAACTATTTTTGGAAATTACCTACTACATACTTGGTTTATTCCATGAAAACATGCATTGAAATACTCAGCATTTTGTTGAATGCATAGTGACAAAAATAAAGGCATATCTGCATTCAGAAACTGAATCATGAGTGCCCGCCCCCCTTACCTTCCTCGCTCAGGTCCGGCTTATTCCAGGTGGGTGAAGAGAAACGGCCAGACTTCTTGCGAGGACTGGTGCTCACCTTTCTCCAGGCACCACTCTCTCCTTTCTTCTTGCTGCAACTGTTGTAACTTGAAACTATGGATAAAGGGAAACTTCCTCCTTTGAAATCAGCTGTATGCTGGTCCAGCTCTGAAACAACAGAAAACCACGTTTTGCCAAAAGGACGGCAGTGATAATGCAGTTTCATAGAGTCAAGCAAAATACATCCTTTCCAGCTCTCGAAGAAATACTCTTCAAAATCACGGGCCTGCTTAATACCTAAGCAGGGGTTTTGTGAACCAGCAAACTTTCCTTGGAAGGCTGGTATTTAAACAGGAGCCAATAATTAAAAAACAGTTCTGGAGCAATGCTGTGAAATATCCATTAAGGTCGAGATCATTTCTCTAGTTACAAAGAGAGAGAAGAGAACTCCCTAAAAGCAAATGTCAACATGTGTTATATAAGGCTGTGAACTTCCTCTCCTCCCAGCACCAACCCACATACCTGCTCTCTGGAGGGGACAGCCATGCAGAACAGCTTTATTAAGCAAGATGCTGAGAGCAGCTTTAACCACAGCCTGCTGCCCTTGGCTACGGTGTTTTTCAGCACTTGTTTGCCCAAGGCCAGGTTGTCTTTTCACAGAGGCTCTTGACAATATTGCTTCTTGAACTCTGGGTGCAATGACGGCATTCCACAACTTAGACATCCACCTTGCAAGAGAGGGGTGGATTCACAGTCAGGACCAGGTCTCACACGAATGACACACAGCTCTACAAAGGACAGGTTTGAAGACCACAGAAAAACACATAAGCATTTCTATAGATATCCTATCTTTCCCAGGTAGTTTTGAAATGAGTGCAATTATCCAACACCAAAGTAATTTGAATTTCCCTCAAAAATACAATGTATTTCAAATGAAACTGTTTCCATGTCTCCTTTTACTGCTCCTTGAGAGCAGGAATCAATGCTTGAGTGTTTGTTGAACGAATGAAGAAAGAAATACATGGAAAGGAAGGTAAATTTACAGATGGAATAAGTCTGGGAAAAAGATTTCCTGAAGGTCTGTGTCTAAAGAGCTTAAACTTATTTGCCCTATTTCCTTAATAAGACACACATATATTGTATTTTAATATTTCTGAAATTAGGAAACATCTTATAATCACTGGCAAATTAAATTTGCCTGCCCCAAGGCAAGGGCTCAGTGTCTGTATGCAGGTGGCCTTAGCCCTGCAGAGAGGGCACGGGGTCAACCAGCCATCGCCCCAGGTAGACTCGGTGCATTAATAGCTGTAGCAGCGGGACTTCAGCCCAAGTATGAAGAACTCAATGCCAACCAAAATTCCTTCAGAAAAGATTACACTTTGTTGCAGCATTAAAAAACAGTTAACATGATTAAAGGCTGTAGAAACAAAACCACATCTCCCAGAATGGGAAAGTTTTCAAAGCTATCAGATATTGGCGTAAACCTTTCAAGTCCTGTTAAAACTATTACCCAGGTATCAAGCATCCACCTATTGTAAGCTTCTCTGTTAATGTCTAGTAATATGAAATTACAATAGAGAATATAGACAAAAATATGGTATTCTACAACATGAGTCAAACTTACACAGTTCCTCCTAAAGGTGCTAAAAGGGTAAAGATGATAAGCTCTGGTTAAAAAAAAAGTAGCAGTTCCTTAATATGGCTGTTGAGAGACAATTCTCCATGACATTTCTGCACATCTTATGTCAGCTTTTGTTCTGGACCATCTTTTCAGGGATGTTTGTACAGCAAACAGCCTTGGGAGACAGAGATGGTGTCTCCTGGAGCAGAGGCAGATCTGTTTCCTGACCAGGAGAATGAAAGTAATGTCTGCTTCCAGATTTGCCAGCACCCCCCTTTAGGAGACTGGGGGACTCCCAAGCTCACAGTTCTGTAGCCGTGATGCAAAGCCAGCATCCACCTGTGCCGCTGTGCGTCACCCCGTGGGACCTGAGGAGCTGGGGGAACCAAGGCAAATTTGAAGCCCAGGCAGGGGCTGTGTGTGAGTGATGAAGTCCCCGACCTCTGGCTCAGCATCCTGAACCTGTGGCAGCCTAACCTGTTAGCCTGCAAATAGGGTAAAAATCTCAGAGCCTCTAGTTCACCACCACGACTGTCCTCCAGACAGGAAAGGCCAAAATTGGCTCCTAAGAACCGTGGGACACTGGATGTAAAAAGGGATTAAATTTAATTGTGATACTGATGAAGAAAATGGTAATTATATGAATAAATATATCTCTGCTTTTTAACAAGAAATTGTTGTGTATATTTTAATATACTACTTCTTCCTTTCCCCCTAATTAGCTGTTATTAAATTGACAGTTTGTCTGACAATAGAGAAGATATATTATTTGCATCTCCTGCTTTCCAAAATAGATTTCTGCCCAGGATGCCAGAAAGTGCAGAATCAAATCTAATAGCTAATCACAGAACCCTTACTAAGCTGGATGGTGACAAATTTTTTCCTCCTTTCAATTTCCTCCTGATTTTCTATTTCATTAACCTTATTGTTTGTATGTCTGTTCTCATAAGCTGCTACAAAGGAAAACAGAGCAAGTACATAAGTCTCATTAATAAAGGAGGAAACTTCAATTCATCAATAGAATGCAAGGCTTTTTGGTTTTTTTTTTTTTTGGTTACAGGATACTTGACCAAGCTTTTCATGTGGGCCTTCCCCAGGAGACACTGTACAGCAAGTCACACATGACTTTGATGCGAGGTTTTTTTCTTTTTTTGTGAGGAAGATTAGCCCTGAGCTAACATCCATTGCCAATCCTCTTTTTGCTGAGGAAGACTGGCCCTGGGCTAACATCTGTGCCCACGTTCCTCTACTCTATACGGGACGCTGCCACAGCATGGCTTGACAAGCGGTGCATTGGTCCGGTCCGTGCCCAGGATCCGTACCTGCAAACCCTGGGCCGCCAAAGCGGAGCGCGTGAACTTAACTGTAGCTACGCCACTGGGCCAGCCCATGATAAGAGTTCTTTAACAGAGGGAAACTGCTATCTAGACTTAGCAAAAACAGTTTCCTTAAGAACTATCCAACAGACAAGTGATGGACAGAGCTCCGGTGCCCCATGTTGACAGGAGGCAGCACAAGGTAGCCCCTTGAGCATTCTCACTCCCAAACATCCCAAAGTGGCCATGGCTCTATTTTAAATAGGCAAATAAGGAGAAATGACACTTACTTCACTGTCACTTGGGCATGCCCCGGGATTACAGGACAAGACAGGAAATACTTTGGCCCGAGAAGTGCTTCAGGTGTGCCCAAGCGGGCCAGGCAGGAGTTCAGCTGGCGCCAGACGGCCAGGGCCCAGTCGACTGTCTTGCACACGGGATCACAGGGAGAGGGCACCTGACCTCTGAACTAGACAGACAGGGAGTTGAAACATGGGCTTGGTTTAACAGTACTTCTTTTCCTTTTTTAACAGTTCAAAATTAAAAATATAAAAATTTAAAACTATAAAATAAAAATGTAGCTGAATCTGATTTTACCTTCACTTAGGGGGGCTGAAGGACGGACAGCTAATAACACACACTGTTATGTGTGTTAGCATGAGATACAGATACAGATCTGTAGCTTATTACATGACACGAAAGAGTTCAGATACAGTAGAGCAGTAAGTAGACTAAGAAGAAACCTGGGATCAATTTTGGAAGAAATCATTTTTCACATGTCTAAAGAGTACCTCACCGGGTCTTGCAAATAAGTGTTTAAAAAAGCATGTTGAATAAATGCAATTAAAAATGACATTAACATTTCAATATTTTGGATAAGTGATAAGATGATATATCTGGATCTGTTGCGTGTTCAACTTGTACTAATTTTAATTTCCCTAGAAGGGAGGTCTCAGCTAATGTTAACTTCATCAAAACGTACAGAGCTCTGCCAGCATAAAGAAATTTGTTTTCAAATTTTAAAACGTGCAAATTTTAAAGAATATTGTGTAATGGCAGCATGGTTTAATGGGAGCAATTCTTTTTAGAATTATGTTTTACAAAATCAAGTCCCTTTTTGTTAGTACAGGGTTCACAAAAGGACAAAGATTTATTTACTATTAGGAGAAAAAATATCTCTCAATTATTTAGAAGTCAGATATAGCAATTAACTCTGTATTTTATAAGAAAGCAAACTCACATGAATCTCAGCTTTACCAAGTAATTATGGTATTAAGACTGAGGATGGTCTGTGAATGTTTGTACATCCTACATGAAGGGATATAATTCAGCCTAAGAAAAATGAGACAGTGGTTCAGTGATACTAGTGTCTCCATTCAAGTGTTATCACTGTGTCACATGAGGCTTTGGGATCTGTTATCATAATTTCCTTTTTCTTCAAAAGAGGAACAATCATTATATTTCTCTCACTTTCTCTGATATTCTTCCAGCAAGAATAATGAGATCATGTACTACGATTAATGATAGCTGAATATTAATTTCCTACTCAAAAAAAGTATAATTACTTATTAAGTATTAATAGGAAGATTGGTATTGTCCTAAAAGGTCTGTTTACTTATATCCCTGTAAGAAACTGGAAGAAGAAATCATGACCAAGTGCCAAAGTGCTTCAAAGCGCCCCCAAAGATTTGGTTCTGTTCCGCAGTGACAAGATTTCTGATGTTTTGCAGGAGTCATTCATGCCCATTGTACACTTACCCCAGGACTCTGCTTTATTGACCTACTTGAAGTGATTTTTGATATATAAAAGGTATTACCCTTTCCCCCCTTTCTATTCACAGTACACCCCACATTCCCATTCTCAAACACAATGGAAAAGTAAATAGAGCTTGAAGCTTGGAACTTTCCTTTCAAAAATAAGTAAAACCAATTCTTTTCAAACTATGTTTATCAGAGGGCTGGAGCGGGGGAAGAGGAGGTACGTTTTACCTGAAACAGTGCTGTATCTAAAAAATAAAACTGGTACCTTTCAGTGAAGATTAGCACAGCGCCTGCACAAAGAAGACCTGCAAATTTGTGAAGTGTTCTATATTTCTCCCTTAGGTAAACTAGGGACTTTTATGTGTCAATGTAGCTTCATCCTCGGTAAAAAAATGTATCATTCTGGTGAGTGATGTTGATAATGGGGGAGGCTGTGCATGTTTGCGAGCAGGCGGTATATGGGAAATCTCTGTACCTTCCTCTCAATTTTATTATAAAGCTAAAACTGCTCTAAAAAAAATAAAGTCTTTTAGAAAAAAATGGTAACTTTTGTGATTATTTATGTGATATTTTTTGGCAATGAGATTTAAATACTAATAGTGATGAAGTTAATGGAAGTATCAGTAATTTGAAAAGCTACAGACCTATGACCATCTTTACCTCACCTTTCTTCCCACTAGTTGAGGTCATACAATGGATATGCTTTGGTCAAAAGCACATATTTATAACCAGGCAACTGACTTTAACATAGCTTTGAGTAAAAGAGTTCTATGATTAAATTAAGAATTTCGGATACTAATTCAAATCACCTGTGGTTGGCACTGTTCACTGAATTACCAAAGCCATTCCCACCCCACGCTTCTCCTCCACCCCCACCTACCCGTCCCCCGTCTCCCACAGATGTACATTCACATACTCTAACACAATAGACAGAGAATTTTGTTCAGGTTCTTGGTGGAGAGCTTCAGTCTTGGGAAGGTGAGTCTAGCCGTGGTCTGGGGCGGAGGGGTGAGCATGGAAACCAGCTCTAGTTAGTTAAGGAGAAGTCATGTTTTGGGGAGTTTCAGAGAAAGATGCTTTGCTCACTGAGGAGGAGGAGCCTGAGGAAGCCTAAGCTCTCTATCCCCCGCAGCACCTGCTTTCTGACTTGGAACATGTTGTGTGAGGTGTGGTGCCCGAAGCCCTGCAGACGTCTTGCAATCTTGAATGGAGGTGGAGAGACTCACCCAGACCCAGGGGCCTGACATCACAGAGATGCTGAAGGGATGTCAGCAACACCTACTGCAAGCATCTGGTTATGTCAGGGGAAAAAGCCTCTTCCTGTGAGGCAGTTACCAGTGGGGTGTTGTGTTATTTGCAGCTTAAAATACTGTGCCGATACAATGAAGACACTCCACGCGTGGCCCATCATGCAGGATTAAATGATAAAATCTTGCTAAATCGAGCTCTTTTATTTCAAATCTACCCTGACATTCAGCTACGCCCAATTTAAGAATATTAAATTAAATAGTAATGTACTAAATTTGGTCAGCACTAAATTAATTTTGTAACTGGGAGAAAATAGAATATAGAATTTCAGAATATTATTCTGAAAAATCACTAAAAGTTATTATTACTTTTGAAAATGTGTCAAAAGATAAAGAATTCTAATTTTTCATGTGACTGTTTAGTATTTACTATAGTGCAGTATAACAGTCATACATTAAAACTAGCTTGAGTGGATGGATAATGTTCTGAAGGCTCCAAGGAAGCAGAAGTTTTTCCCTAAGAAGAGTGATTAATTTTCTATTCCAACCTCCTACAGCATTTAGAAGTTGGAGAGACTCTTTGAGAACAGTTAATAACAACAGTAAAACCTACTGGCTTTTTTTTGTACTTAATATAGTCCAGAAACTGTTACAGGTTTTACATGCGTTATCTTATTTAACCTTTGAATATCCAAAAAGTTTACTTGCCCAAGGCCACACAGGTAGTAAGTGGTCAAGTTCAAGCCCAGGTCTCCTGACACTCAAGCCCCCTCTCCCGGCAATAGGCTGCCGCTGTGATTTGTTACCTTATTCACAACTTTCCTCCTTAAGAACCTCTGCAGCAGTCCCTGCATGGGCTCGCCGTCCCACCGCAGTTGAACCCAGCGGAAATGCTGCTGCACCAGCAAGTCGGAGCCCTGGAGACAGGCCTTGGCAATGGTTCCCATAAGAAAGCAGTTCTCATGAAAATAATAACATTCAGACATTCCGTTTCCTAAAACAAACCAAAAGCAATGGTCCAACCTCAGCAAGCCAGAGTATGGGACAAATGCAAATTAAAATAAGCTAAAGAAAGAAGAACGTGAAGTATAACTCATACTCTGGTAAACAGAAAGGTTAGAAGGATCTCCAAGAAACTTGCCTCTCAGCATGGTCTCCCACTATCTTTACCTTTTTGAAAAGTACAGGGGCTTTCAGTGCTGCGATTTTCCAGAGGTGCCAGAAAGTCCCCCAATAACTCAGATAATGAAGATTTTTCCAGATTCTCTAAGATGATGATGATTTTCTTGTTAACAGGAGATTGTTTCACTGGGATCAGACATGCTGTGGTCAAAAAGCAAATTCAGTAATTAAAGGTTTTACAAAAACCTATACAAATTGGCAAAAATTTAAGTTTTAGCAAAGATGTGACACAACAAGAATATTCTTACATTGCTGGAAGAGTATAAGGATTCTGGAAAACAGTCTGGCATTACTGAATAAAGTTGAAGCTATACACACACACACACACACACACACAATGATCCAACAGTAGCTCCATTAACAGATCCCAAATGGAATCAACCCAAATGTCCACCAATAATAGAATGGGTAAATAAATAGGAGTATATTCATACAATGGACATAAAAGTGAACAAAACACAACCAGAAGCAACACGTGGAGCACTGTGACAATATATTAAGAAGCAAATCACAAAAAAAAATACATACAATATGATTTCATCATGTAAAGTTCAAACATGGGCAACACTAAATATATAATTTAGGAAGTCATACATAGGTAGTAAAACTATAAAGAAAAGCAGAGAAATGATTATGTGAAAGACAGACTAGTGGTTACCTCTAGAAGGAAGGGTTTGTGAACAGGGGCAGGGGCACACAGGAGCATTCTGGAAGCTGGGAATATTCTATTTCTTGGCCTGATGAGTGGTTAAATGGTTATTTTATTTAAAATTATTTTTAAAAATTTATTTAAAATTATTGATTAATCTGTAGTATTAAACTGTAGTATGATTTTATAGATGTATATTTCACAATACAAAAGGCCAAAACCCTTAAATGACCTTTAAATTTCACATATAAAATATTCATAAAATGATGTAGATGGGACCTCAGAGAGATCAGCAGATCCCTCCTTTCATTTTACAGATCTCAGAGAGGTTAAAGTGATTTGACTAAGGTTTCAGGAATGGTGGTAAGGAACAACTACAATCTAGGACTTCTGATCTTATTTTAGTGGTCCTTCCACTAAAGATGGGAGGACTGAACTGCATATCAACCCAAAATGAAAGATGGAAATTAAATGGAAGATTATTATTATAGGTAGGAAATGAATAAGTCAGTGGACAAAATGTACTTGAATCAGTCCCTGGCACTTACCAAGCACTCAAATGTTACTAATATTGTCGTTAAAACATATAGAGTACTTCCTATATACCAATGAATTAATAAAAACATTAAATCACTTTTTAATATTTTAGGAGATTCTAAGATGCCCCAATCTTAGCCAAATTAACCTTGACAAACAGAGATCAATTTAAAACACTGGAGAGTAATTTTGTGAAGTACTCCACTTTTCACAAATACTTATGATAGTCTTATTATATTCCATTCTTCCTCCTTGTTACTATAGACACAATGCATTTTCTCTTTCAAAAGCAGTACTTAAACATTCTAAATGAATCTCTTCTGAGACTGAAATAGCTTTTCTGGATGCCAAGAAGCTTTAAAAATGAGAAGACTAGAAACAATAACAGCCATGTCTCAATTTAGTTGTATTTGTGGGGGATGTTCCACTAGCGTCTGGTGTGTGCTGGACGCCCTTCAACCCAGCTGTTTATTAAAGAGTGCTAAAATCCTATGCTTCTCAGCTTTCAAATGATATTTCAAAAATACATTTATTATGGAAGTGTGAGAAATCTATAATTGGTTAAAATAACAATAATAAACTAACAAACCTTTACTAAGTGATAAAAAAACAGACCAGGTTGGATGGTATGTATCTGCTTTTCTGCAACCAAGGACTAAAAGTCTCCAGTTTCCCTTGTGTTAAGTGTATGGCTAGTTCCAACGGCCCTGAAGCTGCTGCATCGGGCTAGAACGTATCTGCAGGAACAAGTAACTGCATTTCAACAAATGTTTATCGAGTGTCCCCTAGCTGTATGTCCTGTGCTAAGAGCTATGGCATGCCAGAGGTGACTGATTCTAACAGGGGGGCTGTGGCATTTTAAACTGGACCTATTACGAGGAATGGCATCTGAACAGGCAGGTCAGGAGAAGTCTTTCTAGGTTTAGAAACAGCATAGGAGGAAGAATGGAGGTTTGGGGGAGTTCAGTCCTAGAAGGGACTGGGGCATCAAATCAAGGTCAGAATAGCCATAAGGGTAGCAAGAGTGAACTCAAAGCTGACACACACCTCCAGTCAGGACTGGCTGGGAGCTTAGGTGGAGCCACATCAGTGGAACGGGATCAACTGACCACAGCCGTGAGCAGCTGTGGTGGCAGGCTGTGTCCTCCTCGTGGGCTGCACAGTAGGATCACCTGGGATCTACCCCCAGAGGTTCTGATTTAACTGGTCTGTGCTGAATCTGGGGCAGCGGCATTTTATGTGCAGCCAGGGGTGAGACTTGCTAATATGAAGCCTCAGAACTTGGCCACAAATGAAAAGTGGAAGAACCAAAGTGTCATGTCAGGAGGGAGAAAATACCAGCTCTGGGAATTAGGGGAAGTCTTTAAGGAGGGAGGATCAACAGGATTTGACTCCTGCTTTGAGATCTCACTCTGTCGCTAAGAGTTGACTGGTAAGGAAAGAAACAGGAGAACAGAACACACCTATAAGCTCTTGTTGCTGAGGTGAAGGCAAGAGGTAATGGGAGCCTCATCCAGGGCCAGCGCCCAGAATGAGAAGGCGTTTTGAGATAGCGTCAATAAGGCTCAGTGGCTGACTGTTTTGAGAGGGACAGAAAAGAAATATCACAGACAACACTGAAGTTTCCACCAGAGAAGAGGTTATACAGTTAATGGAGGCAGCGAGCACATGAGCAAGAGCATACTAGATGTGGTGGTGGCAGTGGTGATGGGTTATGTTTCAGGCCTGATGTGTTTGATGAGCGAGGCACCCCTTCTGAGATGTCCTGCAGGTGGTGGAACACAAGGATGGGAACAGCAAGGAGGATTCAGGCTGAGGTAAAATAAATGAATTTATAGGAGTGCAGGCGGTCTCTTAGAAAGAGATAAACATTCTCCTGAGTTCACAAGCAAGGACTGCATTGCTAACGACGTCATTAATCCCACATTTGATGGACAGCTTGTGCATTAGACAAAAGGGGGTAGTGTTGCTGTTCATAACAGTTGGGTTGGGTTTCCACCTCATCTTCCTTTATCTTGGTTTCCCATGAGGTACCAATCAAGGGTCAAATAGACTGGGTTTCATTGGTGACAAGCTTTGTCTTCAACACTGTGGGCCTCACGTCCTCAATTTTTCAATAACACCTACTTCTCCATCTGACCACGTAAGTTCAACATCCTTAAACAAGTTGGTCCAAAGGTAAGTTGTATTTTAGTTGAGAAAAGCATTTGTCTAGGTCAGGTTATTTAGCATAGTTTCAGGTCTAACATATTAACCAACCACAGAAGCAGGAAGCCATTACAGAGTCCTGTTTGAAGGATTAACCAGCCTCTAATGAGGGTTGATGGGGACAAAAGAGGCTACCCACCCCACTGTATAGCTGGAGATTCCTATTGGCCTGTTGCCAAATGTCAGCTATTCAGATTCCCTTTGCCTATGCTACTTCAAAGCCCTATTTTTGAAGTGAATCTACTCTTTTGTCCTTTTTTCTTCCAACTTTATAGGCTATGTCAGCCCTGCTCCTCTTCTGCAGGCTGGTAATCAGACACCCTCTTAACTAGTCTCAGGGCTACACTCCAGTTTTATACACCCTTGTCTTAAAAGTTCTGGATAGTTAGTTCTAGATCAACACTCATTGGCTTAAAAATAATTAACATATCACACTTCTAGTTAAATCCAAACTCCTTTGTGTCTAAAGTGACCCCAAGTCCGTAATCTCCCCTTTGGAGATGGAATACAGCTCATCTTTTACACTGTCCACTTAAAACGATGCTCTGCGAGTCCAGATAAGAAGGGGCAAACCTTCAAAGAGCCTCCAGTGATACAGCGCCCCAGGAGGTAAACTCAGTTATGTAGACTCCAATGACCAGATTCTTCTACTATTATTACAGTAATTCTATCTTCACTACTTCTAAAAAGGAAACTTCTCTCAGGAATTCACATTATTATTTTAAAATACTGATCTAGTGTTTAAAAAGAATTTTTTTTACTACTTGTCACATGTAATTTTAAAAAGTATCTGTCTTGCTAACCTAACTGCATACCTTACACTGAGGCAAAATTTGACACAATTCTAATACACGTAATACACGTTCACACCCTCCTTACCAAATACCAGAGCCATGTGAAGTGACTGTCTTTCATGAAAGGCAATATGAAAAGGAAGACGTTATTTTAAAATAAACACAAAATAACCCTTGCTAGCATAAGAACTACATCCCTCTTTTTGAAGTGTTCTGTTCTACATTCTTTTCTTCACTAGCACTATTTTAATCTCCATATAAGTTTTAGATTCTTAAAGCTAATTATTTAAAATGCGTTTGCTACCCTTCTTTCTTGTATTTTTTGCTTATACACTTCTTTTATTCATTTGTTGTGACTCTTCATTGGCTTTCTTTTCCAGAGTCAGACAGAGGAACAAATAAGGTAATATACGTGCCTTGCACAGTAGAAGATAAAAGTTCAACATTCTAACCCCAGCCCAATCCAAGCACAGTAATGCATTGCTTAATGACAGAGATGTGTTCTGAGAAATGTGTCGTTAGGCGATTTTATCGTTGTGCAAACATCGGAGTGTACTTACATAAACTTAGATGGCACAGCCTACTGCATAGGCTATATGGTACTAATCTTAGGGGACCACTGTCATATATGCGGTCCCTCATTGACTGAAATGTTGTTATGCAGTGTATGACCGTAGTATAAATCTCTTTCTTTAGAGAAAATAAGGTTAAAAACCAGGAGTAAACGTACAATGCCTACAAATCAGCGTAGTTCTCACTGTAGTAATATAATTTGATCAATTTAATTTCTTAGTAGAAAAGTGGGAGAGTAACTGATAGATAATTCCTATACCTTCATTATTCTAAAAGCTTCAATGAAACAGCCTAGAAACCCTTTTTCTCTCATCCAGATCTCTGCTTTCTCTACTCTCTGTCCTTTTCCATCATCTCTTAACCAAAAGAACATTCCCTGCTATGTGCTTTCTGCACTACAAAAGAAGTGACACCACGCCCGTTGATGGATCTTTCCCTCTGGCTCACTTGAGATTCCCCTGTACTACTCATAGGCCTCTGGTGTTCCCATCTACTCTACTTAAAGTGAACGTTCTCTGTTATCTCTTCATTGGTCACCAGTCAACAGCAGTGGGTCCTACTGAGAAAATGATGGTGATAGTGGACGGAGTTTTAGGAGATGAGGATGGACAGCAGCAAGGGCAAGATCAGAGGCCAGATCATCATGTTCTTGACCTAACATTCAGAGAACCTTAGTTTTATTCTGGAGCCATTGGAATATAATAGCAAGGAACTGTCATGAGCAGTTTTGTATTCTAGAGTGAGCCCTCTAGAAGCCTGTAGAGGGCTTGTGGTGGGAGTGAGACCAGAGGAAATAAGAAGGGTTAGTAATGAGGCCTCCAGAGTCCCTTGAGCAAGATACTATAGGTGGGAGGGAGAATGGAGAGCACGAGGTGGAGATGAGATACAGGAAGCAGACTCAACAGAGCTCAGGACTGACTAGACACAGGGAACAAGGCACACTGAGGAATCTCTGATAATGCTGAGGTTGCTAACTTGGGCGACTGCATTCAAGGTCTTAGCAGATGAATCTTGCATTTGTGTCTTACTTTTGTTATTAGAAAGAGAAAGAAGATATTTGATATTTATGAATTACTGAGCCAAATACTTTCATATTTGGAGATGATTACACCATTTCCTCTATAAGAAAGTAGTTAGAATGGAGATTTTTTTGGCCTCAGTCTTTTGTTTGAAAACTTCATTTTTCAAATCCAATTCACTCTCTTGATGCCTTATCATCAACTACTTTCTTATCAGCTCCTGCACTCTCTAATCTTACTTCTTTCTACTTCCACTGCAAGCAAGTTCTTCTACTTGCTGACACCTGAATATGACTAACATCCCTTTTTCTTTGTCCATGCTATTTCTTGAATGAGGAGATTGACCCACTCATTTATTGGGAATCAGTGTACAAGGTGAAATAGAAGAATAAGCTACATTACTAGCCTTCAAGGAGCTCACAATACAACATGTGTGTGGGCCAAGGCAAAAGCCCAGATAATACCCTCACTGTCTTGAGCCATAGTTAGGTGGGGCACAGAGGTATAAACAAGGTCTACTGCTATTCATTAGAGAGAGTGGTCACATCTGGAGGGATCAGAGAAGCCTTCATCTGAGGTGTCCTTACAGCATTTTAACAGGGGCTTTTTCTGTACTTTTCAGTGGGGCAGAGACCATGTCTATTTTAATCAGTACTGTACAACATAGTACTTTGCATAGTACCTGCTATGTGGTAGTCAGAGCGTGTGTATAGGGGGCGGAGTTTGTTTGTTTACTCTATAACGCAAGATGAAAGTTGCAGCGTGAACAAAGACATGGGAAGTGGAAAAGCAAAGAACATGTGCAGAAGAAAAATCATATTCTTCTGGAGCTCAGTTATCTATTTACAAGAGGGTCAGATATTCCAAAGAAGATACAGAAGGCCACCAGGTCCATGAAAAGATGCTCTACATCACCAATCATCATGAAAATGCAAATCAAAACCACAATGAGATATCACCTCACACTTGTCAGAATGGCTGTCATCAAAAAGACAAGAGATAGCAAGTGTTGGTGAGGATGTAGAGAAAAGGAGACCCTTGTGCACTGTTAGTGATAATGTAAATTGGTACAACCACTATGGAAAACAGTATGGAGGTTCCTCAAAAAATGCAAAATGGAACTACCATATGATCCAGTACTTCCATTGCTGGGTATATAGCCAAAGGATGAAATCAAGATCTCGAAGAGATATCTGCACTTCCATATTCATTGCAGCATTATTCACAATAGCCAAGACATGGAAACAACCTTTCTCTCAGCTGATAAATAGACACAGAAAAGTGGTATATATACACAATAGAATATTATTCAGCCATGAAAAAGAAGGAAATCCTGCCATTTGTGACAACGTGGATGGACCTTGAGGGCATTATGCTAAGAGAGACAGGTCAGATGGAGAAAGAAAAATACTATATGATCCCACTTACACACAGAATCTAAAAATACCAAACTCATAGAAATAGAGAGTGGAATGGTAGTTGGCAAGGGCTAGGGGGTGGGGGAAATGGGGAGATGGTGGTCAAAGTGTACAACCCTTTAGTTACAAGACGAGTAAGTCCTGGGGATCTAATGTACAGCATGGAGACCATAGTTAACAATTCTGTGCGATATACTTGAAAGTTGCTAAGAGAGTAAATCTTAAATGTTCTCGCCACAAGAAAGAAATGGTAATTATGTGAGGTGATGGAGGTGTTAGCTAAGGCTACAGTGATAATCATTTTGCAATATATAAGTGTACCAAATCAACACATTGTATACCTTGAAACATAATGTTATATCTCAATAAAAAAAATAAAATAAAAAAGGATCAGATAAGCAAATCAAGTGGATCAATGTCCTAGAATGCAAGGCCTTGAATGGCCTCAACTTAGTTCAGTGGGCGATGGAGAGATGTGGGGGGCAGAAATCACAGAGAGCTTTTAATCAGGGGTCTGGTGGCTTGTGAAGGATGTTCAGGGAGGAGAAGCAGTAGGCAGAGCAGCCATTTACAGGAAAGTAGATGAGATGTAGGAAAAGGGGAATAAAGTAGGGTGGTACTAATGGGGAAGGACGAAACAGGCACATTGAGACCAACTTGGCAGGACATGACCATGGACTGGCCATATAAGAGACAGGGGTGAGGGGACCACGAATGAGAGGACCTTGGGGTTCTAGGTGGTCCTCATATTGCTTTAAAAATTGAAATAGTTTACAACATTGAAAGAACAGACTCCCAAATTTTCACATAAAAACCTGGATTTTTGGCTTCTTCCTCAAAGTCATGAGACCTTCCGACATTGGATCTACACTTCCGCCAGCCACAAGCTGCTGGAGTTGAGAACTGCTGCCCTCATGTAGATGGAGACATGCCTCCCTGCTTCCCCCGGCCCCATGCAGCCTGCTTCACCCCTTAATGTGGCTTTTTGGCACTTGCGGGCATTAAGATTTTCAAGCCTGCCAACAAGACCTGCGTTCCAAGTGTGGGGGGCCAAGAGACTGGTGCCACTCACCAAACTGGGAAATTAGGAAGAGAAGCTCTTTTTAAGAATGCTCCCCAAAGATTTAGAAATGCTGAGTCAGTCCCCTTTGCATCCTTCATGACCTAATTCACTGCTCTCCAGTTTTCTTAGCTCTCTAAGTTTAAAGCAGAATTCAGTCTGTAAATGCTATCTACCCTGATAGGGTGAGAACAAAATATTTTCACTTCTTACACGACTGAAAGTTGAAAAAAACGTTAGGGGGCTTTTGTTATATAACTAAGGGGAGAAATAGAAATCTTGGCACAGGTGAGTTTCTAAGGAGCAGTGGCTGGCAGTGATTAAGGTCAGGCTCAGGAGCCAGATTGTTGGTTTGAGTACCACTCTGCTGTGTCCTTGCTGTGGCATATTTGGGTAGGGTACTTAACCTCTTGTCTCAAGTGTTTTCACGTTTATAAATCAGAGTGTTTAGAATAGGATCTACCAGAGTCAGAGCTTAATAAATGTGAGATATTATTAGTAACATCATCAGAGAAAACAGCTTTCTGTAGCTAACTTTCACTAGTTTTTGGCCAAAGACTGGCCTGAGTACCACAGCAACATTCAGATTCTGGTGGGAGTTTCCTGTCCCCAAAATGTGCTTGTAGGTTTGTGGACTCCTCAGTCCCTTCCCAAACCTGCCCGTTAATTTTATTTCTTGATTTAGGAACTGCTGTAATTTCTTTTTCCTAAGCCTAGTCAACAGCTGTCCTAGCCACAAGATATCTCCCTTGATCATGGCTCCAAAGATGAGAAGCACTCCTGCCCCTAAAGAAAGATGTGAATTTGCATTTCAATTCATCCTTCACCCATTTTGCAACTGCCCCGCTCCTCAGGGTCTCCATCACTTTGAGCCCTTGGAGACTGGAGTCTGGTCCATTTCAGTTCTGTTTCACAGTCACTAGTCATGCTATGCTATGCAGGGTTATGCTAACTCTACCTGTGGTAAAGCTTGGGGTGTTAAGCTCTAGAGCCCAAGGTAGAAAATTCATGAAAATGTTATATTAATAAACATGGTTAATCCTGGTTCTGCCACTATGTAGTTGTGGCAAGTTACTGAAACTCTCTGTGCCTGTTTCCTTACCTTTGAAATAGAGACAGTGATACCTATTTGCATAGGGCTGTCTGAGATTAAATGAGTTAACTAATGCGAGCAATGTGCTTAGCAAAGCGCCAGTCAACGGCATACCAAGGGTTATGTGGAGTAAGTAGTTTACCCCAGGTGCTGCAATAAGGGGTGCTTTGGTTGTAGAGAACTTACGAATAATAATAAAATTTACTAAAAACCGATCTGCCTTTTATTATCACTGTGCAATTCTAAATAGCATCAGGGATATAATCCTTAGTCCCGCTAGGGTGGACAGCTCCCACCACCTCCTCACTTGGTACACTAGTGCCAGTTTATATAGAATGCTACAATGGATGCTTTATAAACAAAAGATAAAAAGAAGAAGAAAAGAAAATGCAGGATGTGCAATAAATATATAGATGCAGATAACTTTTTGCAAGTGTTGACCTAGGTTCCCAGTTTTCATCCCATAGCTGCTGAATAACCGAAAAGCCGACTTAAATTTATCCCCAAGCAACTAAGTTTACTTCCTTTTAATGGCATCACTGAAAGAGCATGCCTTTTGGTTCTCAAAATTCAGTTTGCTGCAATTGTCTTACCGCTACTGATGAACAGGTCTACCAGCTGTTCCTTGGAGAAACCAGCATCCACTTCGGCTCTCACTATTTCACAGGAGAATCCCGCAGCCATTTGTCTGTGCTGAGATAAGAAAACAGAATGATTAGTTCTATACACTTCCGAATTTTCAAAGAAAGGGAGAGGATGTGCAAGTACTGATACCTTCATGCAGAGTGCGAGCTGATGTGCTATGTAGTCTTGCAAGCTTCCTTCTGGGCCGTGGAAAATGACATTATGATATTGCTCGACCTATTAACAAACCAAGAAGAGACCTTAGGTGAAAATGCTAAGAGGAAAAAAGGGATACACAAGCGTGAAATTCCCTTTCTGATTGTCCTCAGCCTTTCAAATGATTAAAAATAATATTTTAGATATCAACTTTACTCACTGGGCACTTGAAGTCTTTCACTTTAATGTGAAATACTGGCAAATATGGTATTTATATATTTATGCAGTATTTTATATAGTATTTATTTATTGCAAGAGCTGACATCTGATGAAAAAGCATCCTTTCTTCCCTGTTTTCTACTGTGAGGTTCAGTCTGTAGCTGTACACAGTGCCTACTGTATTTTGTCCCTTGCAGATGTTTATAATTTTTTCTTTATTATCCCTTGCAGATGCTCTTTAGTTTGAATTTTCCCAATGCTTATCTTACTTTTTAGTGATTAAAACAGCGAGGGATTTCATTAAGGAAATTTTGGAAAATACAAAGAAACGTAAAGAAGCAGAGTAAAAATCACTGATGGTGTCAGCACACACAACCAACCACTGTAAATATTTTTGTTTCCTTCCAGCTTTTTTCTTTGCATAGTTGATGTGTGTGTATGTATATTTACATATTTACATAGAATAGATGTATTTAGAAGGATACATGAGTGTAATCTTTTCACAGCTGTCATATATCAGAGAATATCTTTGTGTTGACTTCTTACGTATAACACACAGTGAGACAGAAAGCCAATGACCACCTACCCAGAGCAAAGGCAGTGATGTCTGGAGCAAGATGTGGAGGGGGAAGTCATCCTCCCACCTCCATCATCCCAGGGCTCAGCTCCCACTCCTCGCCCCCACGCTCTCTTCTTGGAAAGGTTTTGCAGAAAAGGACCTGAACAGGTGAAGTGTCAACCTAACCGGTACAGTTGATGTAGCTCATGTGTGAAGGTTGAGTCATGCAGACTTAAAGAAATATTAAACATGAAAGGGTCTATTCTCTCTTTATAATCTGGAACGGGACAATGTAAGGACATACATATGTATCTTTGCGTTGTTGTTGCTGTACTGTGCTCTTATGAAGTTGTTCCTTCGAGGCCATAGAGGAAGGCCACATCATTGAGGGTGGCTGGGGTAGACTTCTGTGAAGACAGTGAATATGCCCCTGGTCCATCATTATAGGGAAGAGGCAGATTCCAGGATATGAAAGGGAGGCTTGAGAGAAAGCTGTTAGCATGGAAGGAAGAGGGAACTCCTTCCTTACCTGAGGCCTTTAAGACTTGTGCTTTGGCCTCCAAGGAGACCAAGATATGTGTGGAAGAACTCTTGGAACGTAGAGGAAAACGACGCTTGACCACTGGATGTCAGACCATGAGCGAAGGAGGGAAGTGGTCCTTTAAGGGGCCCCTTGATATTGGACTTGGGACTGGGTTTTAGGCTCTGAAATACAACATATCTGGTAGCCACCAGTGATTTCCTCTAAGTTTGAATATTATTCCACTTTTGACAACCCTTCGATAAAAAAGGGAACAGTTGGATTCACAGTGGGGCTAGAGGGAGAATGGTGTGCCTGAACATGACAGTGGTTGTTGTAGTTACCCAAAGAATGTCAGCATCCTCAAGCCACAGGATGAACTCAACAGTGGCTGGCCTGGGCTGTTTTCTGTGGTATTGGGGGTCTGTGAGATAAGCAATGGTAGAGGTCCTGGCAAGGACAAAGACTGGACAGGGACTCCCCTGGAGACATGAGAAAGAGAATATCCTGGAAAGTTCAGTTGAGGTTCTGCTTCTAGGTAGTGAGGCTATGGAGCCAAAGCCTTCAGAGGTAAATTATTGTTAAAGAATAATCTGTTCTCATTTGTATCTATGAGATGAGGAAGCTTGGGGGATGTACAGATTGTACTTGTAATTAAAAAATGTTGCCCAGATTTGTCTAGTTATGGCCCCTTTCTCCCAATCTTAAATGGAACATGGTAAGTCCTTTCAATATGCACAGTCAGACCTTTTTTGGCTTAGGAAATTTTTCTTCCATTATATTTTTGGTAATTTCTCCTCTTCTAGTTCTATTTCTTTTTTTGTGTGTGTGAGAAAGATCAGCTCTGAGCTAACATCCACGCCAATCCTCCTCTTTTTGCTGAGGGAGACTGGCCCTGGGCTAACATCCGTGTCCATCTTCCTCTACTTTATATGGGATGCCGCCACAGCATGGCCTGACAAGCGGTGCGTTGGTGCACGCCCAGGATCCGAACCTGGGCCGCCAGCAGCAGAGTGCACGCACTTAACCATTATGTCACAGGGCCGGCCCCTGTAGTTCTATTTCTAAGGAACACCTACAATGCCTAAGTTCCCTTTCCGTTCTCAACGATTATATCTGTCCCTGATCATTATCACAACCCTGTCCTTCTCTCCTACATTCTGGGAGAGCTCCTCAAGTAAGTCTTTCACAACAGTGAACAGAATATTCACTATCTCACTTCTGCTCTTTATTTTCTCAAGTACAATTTTAATGATGTCATTGCAGTTTTAGTTGTTCTTCGAGTTCCTTACGTCACCCATCTCCTTTCCAACACTTTTCCTTTTAATCCTAGCCCGCACTCTACCATGGCTTCCTTGCTCTGCTTTTGTAGTCTATCTCCTTGCATCCTCTAGAGAATGAACACAATTTTCCAAACTTTTTTTCTGTTTTTTCTAGTAATTTTTAAGGTGTGTTCTTCTTCTGAGTTTTCAGAATGATAACTCTGTTCCGTTTTGCAGTATTCTTCCATAGGTATAATGTTAACTTGTTATTAGTATTTATGTACTATGAAACCACAGCAAGAATTTTGCAATCAAGCAGGATGTGTGGACCATCAGTGGTTTCACTCACTGTCCACTAATTTTCCAGTTGAATCCCACCTTCAGTCATTTGGTGATGACAGGCTGGTGTCTATAATTGCTAGTTAAACTCCAGGATCCAGCAGTGGCTGCAGTGGGCTGAACTCCTGCTGTCCACCACGGATAAACTGCAGCCCCAGAAAGCAGGATTCTCCTGCATCCATCCTGCTGAGAGTGCTTATATAACACACTTCCCAGATGCAGCAGTCTCACCAAAGCCCACAACTTCCTGCTTACCTATTTCCAGGAGCATTAATCTCTGAACGGATGTAGAAGGACCCGTACTGACGGGGGGAAGGAGAATACCATGGTGCTGCAAAAAGCAGACACTATGCAGTAAAGGACGTATGCCCAATTTTCTAACTGGTGTAAATCTTGCTTTTTTAAATCGTTAGTAAGATGGTAAGAGAAAAATAGAAGTATTTTCCTACCTAATTTCAGGTCAGCCTCAGATAAGCAGCCTAACACTCTCTTACCCCTAAAGGTAGTGGAAAATTTTTCCAGATTCTTGCCAAAGAGAGACCTCAGTTCTATTCTTCACTGTTACTGTGACTGTTGTGTGTTATTCACTGTGGTGTCACTTTGCAAAAGTATTTTAGTGGGAAATTGCGTTAGGTACTGCTAGCCAGGTGCAATTTTAAACCCGAAGTCTTAAGCTCTCCAAATCAATCCCAAACTGCCATGACTTATTGGGTAGAAATTCTCTCACAAGGAATGGATTATTTCACACCAATGAAACAGGATACAGATTTTCAAGATATACTGAATATTCTACCCATGAGATTTTCAACCAGCATTGCCATTTAGTCTTGCCTCACTCTGAAAACAAGAGTGTTCTATTCATTATAGCCATCCTGTCAAACTGCCTACATCTTCTTAAGATTGATTCTGAAATCATATAACAGCAAGAGACCCAACTTCACAGATAAGCTGTCTTCAATTTCAACACCTCATTTGTTCTGATTGTAGGTTCTTATGAAACACAGACAGGAAACATTCAATTTAAAATTTCATTGAAAAGGCCATTCACTAGCAGTAAGCATTTTGTGTTCACATAGTCTAATATCCTTTCTGGAATAAGGTAAAATATAAGGAAATAAGTGAACTAATAAAGAGAAAAATATGTAAAACATTCCAGATCATTCATACATTCTAATGCATGCATTCCATTAGCAGGTTTCTCCTCATTTCAGCATTATCAATTTTTTGTTAATGGCATTTTGTTGTATCTTGTCAAATGATATAGTTGTGTTGGGTACCATTTAAGATCTGAACAAAAAAATTAACTTAATTACTTGGAGCCTGTTACTCTGCTGAGACTGGTGCAAACATGAAAAGCTTTGCCAAGAAAACATACCTGTTCTAGTGTTACCATATTACATTTCTCCAAATAGCAGGATCTGAGGTATAATAAATATACATGCTCCACGCTTCCAGCAGAGGGCTCTAACAGATAGATAGACAGCCTGGCAGGCAGATTTGTGGGGGGTGAGGGGAAGGGGGTAATATTTTAATTGTGTTGAAAGCAAATCTGTTCTTTGAAAATCAAACTGAACTTCTAAAAGGTGGATTGTAGTCACCAGAATTATCCCCTAAGCATACATTTGCAGTGTGACATTTTTGCTTATTAGTAAAGGGACACTGGCCTTATTATCACAATCAGTACCAAACTCTTTTATTCTTGTGTTTTCGCAGCCTATTCAGGAAGCTCTTATCACATGTGAATTAGTGTTTTGTGAGGCAAATGAATTCTGGATTACATGGAAATGATGACCTCAACAAAGGCCCATCCATCCCTTTATTTTTTTCACTCCAGTGTTTTTCTGCAGAACAGAGTTTATTAGAGTAGCTACGGTCTCCACTATGGTCAAGGTGGCACCTGTGATGTGTTTTCAGACCTGTGGCATTATTTTAAAGCAATTATACCTCAACTTTTGTTTGGAGTTCACTTGTCAGGGTCTGAGGAAAAGCTTCTACTGTCCAGAGATGGTTTTAGGTCAGGTCATGCTGAGATGCTGAACTCAAAAAAGAATGAAAGGGCCAATAAAATGGGGATGGCTATAGCTTAAAGTGTCAAGCTTTATAGCTAGGACTTTCGTTCCGACCTCTTCTGACACTCAATTTTAAAGAACTAATTTATTTACGACTTTAGAACCACAAACAA